CAGACAAACAGTGAAACACACTATATCATTATAGCAGGGGGCCCATGAAAGTCAGCTTTAGATGCCTTTGGGAAACCATGTAATATTTTCATTATTTTGCCATTTTTAATATTTAAGATTATTTAGCAGGCTGCTGAAAATTACATTAGTCATCTAGTTTTCAATTTCAATTCTCTTTTTTAACGTGGCAAATATCACTTCTGACGCATCATCAGCATCATTACCATAAAGATAAAATGGCAAATTACATATAAAAGAACTTGGTTTTGGTTTTGAGCCAAGTGTGTCCCTAATTTCAGTTTAAGTTTCAGTCAAGAATTTTCATTTCAGTGTGTCACTACTTATTGGTATTTTACTGTCAGTATTGTGTTATAAGTGGCAACATAACCCATTTGAAGTGCATATCATTTCCTAATGGTACATTCTCTTTACAAAATGATGAAACAGATTTTGGAAGTGGAACTCAATCGATCCTATCTCTGGTATCTGCTCTTTCTTCTGAGTTTAACTGTTTTGAGATAGTTGGTGACTACACTAAGATAGCTTTCCTCTAGCTTGTGAAATCTGCTATATTGAAGTTGAACTTCATTATTTTTATCTTTACTTTAATTTTATGCTTATCCTTTCATGTAAATTTAGATTTGACTTCTTTTTTCACACTTCTTTTTATCCCACCGGCTTCATATATAGGCCAACATGACAAAAAACTGAATAAATTCCTGTTTTCCAAAATTATTAAGGACATCAAATTATACAATTTCTTTATGGTATGTATACCACATGTCTTTGGAACAATGCCACTTCCTAAAAAAAACATTTGATGTTTTGTTGATGATAAAAGAAAATGCTGTTCCATTTCTCTGGATTTGATCATTGATCTCCCATGTTTTCCACAATAAGGTGTGATCTCTGAAAAAATGTCATACACTTCACAGTTTTGGCTTGTTTAGCAAATTAATGAGTGATGAATGAGAGGTATTGCACTCTTAGAAATATTATAAACATTTTATACAAGAAAGCAAACATTTTTCATGTATATGTAATATTTTGAGAATTTGTTTAAGCTGGTTATGACCGTTCTGCAACTCAACACAGAACCCGTTTGCCAATCAAGAGCATGTTTTAGGTTATATGGCTGGAACGGAACAATTAGTCCCTCTTCTCAGAGTACCCTGAGCCCCTCTATTAGGACAACTATTACGCAATAGAGGAGTCTGGCAGTGAGGGGGGAACTGGCGTCTGATATTGGTACTAAAATAATGATAAGACATTTAAATGACTGGATGGTCTAAGTATAATGAGGGTGTTGTTATAATCTGTTATTGAGTTACTAGAGTAGTATGACAGCAATCAGCTTTGATAACAAATACGTTGCCTGTTGTGGTTGTATGTTGATGCCGTATGTGTTTCTTCCTGCCTTCGCTGCAGGAAGAAACGCTTTCGCAGGTCATTTATAACTCTGCACTCTTATTTGTCTTTTCCTCATGCAACATTGTACATCTTTGTATCATCTGCACTGAACTTTATTACTGCGCATTCCGCACTGGTCATGCTCTTTTGCACAATGCTATATTTTACAGCTGTACTGCATTGTGTACGTAATATATTACTGACTGTGGAAACTTTACTGCAAATGTAAACTACATCTTCTGTGGATTACAGTTATTATAACACTGTAATGCTTACTATAACAGTAACTGCAGCCTTAATTGTAGCAGGAACTATAACTCCAATACTTTGCACATATGAGTGTAACACCCATGTCGTGTTTTTTGCATGATAGCAGAGCTGTAGTTGTATGTATACACACACACACACACACACACACACATACACACACACACACATATATATATATATATATATATATACATATGTGAGTGTGTGTGTGTGTATTATATTGTATATAATTTTGTATATATATTTTAATTTTTACCTTCCTTATATGTATTCTATGTTTGACTTGTATGTATGCTGCTGTAATACTTTAATTTTACTTTGGGGATTAATAATGTCATAATATCTTATGTTTTTTGTTACTTTTAGTTGAATGTTCCTCAAAACCATAGAAAAAGTTTTAAAGGCACTGTATCTTTGTGTATAATGACTATTTGAATTAAAGGCATAAAAAACAAAACCACTGTAGAGTAACTTATGGTAGGTAAGCATAGATACAATGTGGTTTGCACCTGAACCTAAAATGGTAAAAGACACTGAATGCATCCTGGGTTTTCCCAACTTCTTTTAGAGGTTTATTCAGGACTTCACTATGATTGTTGCTCTTCCTACTCCCCTCCTAAATTTAAAACTGGAATACTTCAAGTCTTGGAGCATCCATGTCCGAAGTTAGAATAAGGGCTGTACTGTCCCAGAACTGAGGTACGCCTGTTAGGATGTGTGCTAACTGTGTGCTGATTAAATCATATTTCAGGTTCTCACTTTACGTAACAACAACTTTAGCGAAAGAAATCTTTTGGCAGTGAAGCAGGAGCTGAAGGAGTGGACACACTAGTTAGAAGCTGAACGGTTCACATTCCACCATGATCACAGTCGACGTGTACACCCAGTCAACCATATGACTTAATCCAAGTCAATACAGATGGACCCTGTGTCTTGCTGTTAATTTTAATTTTAGAATGTACTGTCGCCTGGGTTCCGAGAACACTAAGCCAGATACCATCTCTGGGCATTGTGAGAGGAAGAACACTCCCAGGGACCCAGACACTATCTTTCCTCCTTCATGTATTGAAGATAATGAGACAGCAAACCAGCACCTGTCTCGTAAAATCTGCAACTATGCCTCTGCAAAGTTCCTCACTTGCACCGAGAAGAGGGATAATATATCCTCCACACTGGCCTTTCTTCACTGGTTATCATTCAAAGGTTTCGTTACAAATTAAACTTGTTTATGAAGCTTAGGTTTTTTTCATGGCTTTTCATCATATTTCTCTGTCCCCATTCTATTTACAGGCCTCTTAGATCATTTAATACATTGCCTTTGACTATTACACAGTCTCAGTTGAGGTCTATGGGGACTTTGTCTTCTCTGTTTCGACCACAATACTATGGAAAGGTCTATTCCTTTTCAGTATGACTTGTACTGCCCTCTTTTTAGTGCCTCATTTTTAAAATTCTTTATTTTGGAATTATTTTATCCCTCCTTATATTTTATTTATATGTGATCTATATTTTACCCAGTGAGTCTTTAATTAAACTGTTGTTGAACACTTTGGCCAATATTTGCTTGTACCAGACACCCAGGTACAGCCTGCACTATCCACTGTTAAAGTACTCCTCATGGCCTTCCTTGGCTGCCAGCAATGTCAACACCTGCCAGCCTCAGACAGTAAATTAGAACCACTCTCAATACTACAATGCTCTGGTGCCCTCTTTCTATTAGCTTTCACACACTAACTGCTTCAGATGGCTACAATTCCTTAATTTGCTGAATAAATGTACAATTTACAAATTTTATCTGGAACAAAAAATATCTCAGACCATTTTTCTTATGCATACCATTTGACTGAGGTTGTCTACAGGTGCCAAATCTGAAATAGTACCACCGGGCTGCGCAAATTTCAGCAGTGCTGTACTTTACCACATACTTTCTATGAGCTTGGACTGGCACTACGTCTGGTTTTTATCTGAAACATGATTACACTATCTCTCTTGGTAAGAGTGATTGCAATATAGAGTATTTTAAAATAAGTTTAATTTATGTTCATGTCGCCCTTTCCCGCTCCTTGAGCCCCTGCCCCCCCAAAAGGTCTGTGCATGGGCCTGATTTATCTCCGCCCATCATTGTAACTGTGGACACCACTGAGGCGGGAGTTGTGGCCATGCTTTCAAAGTGGCAGGGAGACTGTGCTAAGCCCCATCCTGTTGCATTCCTGTCCAAGATGTTCTCACTTGCAGAAAAGAACCAAGAACCCTTACCATTAAGCTAGCCCTGGAGAAGTAGCATTAGTGGCTGACATGTGCACTGCATATGTTTATCTGTGAAGCTTAGAGACTCTCTACTCTGAGTCTGTTTGGGGCACACCTATTATCTGGGTGAACACTACCCCCAGTTACTGGACACCCTGAAACTACACACAAACTATTGCAAAAGACAGAAGTTATTGCAAAACTCACAAAAATGTGTGAGATGGGCTATGTAGAAACTGGACATTAGAAACACGTTTCTGATTTCATTTCTACATGTAATAGGTGTTTTTGAACTATTTTCTTGACCCGCTGTTGTACGTGTTTGTTAGATTACACTTGTTAATGAATGGAGATTTTTTTTATTGCAGTGATCATTTACACACAGTCTGGAAGCAATACATACATACATACACACACATGCATTCATACACACATACATAAAACGTCATTTATGCACTATTAGTGTATAAAGCCGCTCGTACTTCAACATCAATGCGTTCTTGATAATGGGATAATAGACAAGGACAGACTTAGGCTATTACTCAAATCTTCCACCAGGTGCCCACCCTATGCTAGGCATGTTTTGCCCCTGGGGTGTCAGAGGGGAGCAACTGTTTTCCTAGAGAAATATTATCCTGCCCCACATCATAAAAACGTTACAGTTTTTGTGGATGAGCCCCTTCGCTCTAAACAGGGTAATGAGAGACCAGCATCATCAGTCACTCGGTGTCCTGTGAATAAACGGGAAAGGATGTTAGGGAATCATCAGACGGAAAACCTCGGAAAACTTCGCCCAAAGAGAAATTTTCTAACCCCCTATATGGACATGTTTAGGAGCGTCTGCGTAGACGAGACACTGGGTGTGTTTGAATCAACCAAGTCGCAGCTGACAGGGGTGTTATGAATGTGTATAATTAGTTAAAACCTTTAGCAGGATAAGTACTGTGATAAATTATTGAATTATTAAACTTAACTGTAAAGTAAGATGTTAAAGAGTTTGGTAGTAAGCTGATTCTTTATCATATCTATGATTATCTACACCGCTGTTGTCGTACACACCCCCATTCTCGTACTTGGTCTGGTCTGCACATCCTGAGCGGAACCCACCACTGAGGCTATGAGGAAGTTTGGGCGGTGGTTGAGCTGAGCTGTCCAGGCCGTCACTCCGTCGGGCTTTAGGTGAGTTTAATTTCGCTTAATTTTTCTACAAACGTATAGATTTATTTCTCGTTTTTGCATTTTTGTTTATGTGTATCGGGTTAAGAAGTGCTGTTTCTTTTGCGTTTGGCTCGTACTGCCTATGCGGACTTCGTACTGAAGCCGGATGTGAGCTAGTTAGCTAGCGTTAGCCTTGTGTTAGCCGGCCAGGTAACGCTAGCTTTAGCCAGAGTCTAAAATAAGAATAAAAATGTTTTTAGATAGCTAGAGACCGGTTTATAATAATAATCGGAGTGCATGCTAGCTATATATGAAGTTTAAAAGGTAGTTATGTAATGGGTATTTCAGTAAGGGTGTGCTTATTGACCATTTGCGTACAGCTGGTCGCAGCTGGCTACGAGCTGTTCCGTCTCTAGGCTTTTCCTCGGCGATTGGGTTTTTATTTATTTAGCTGTGTTTTGGGCTAATAAACTTATACAGCTCGACAGATTGTCAAGGCAGCAACACGCAATGAGTTTTTAGGCTGGAAGCCACAAGAAATAATTTCCAACAACGCACTAGCAGCTGAAATAAATATATACAACAGCGCCAGTGGCGTACTTGAGGATAGCACAAGTTAGAAGAATCAGCCCCCCTGATGATGATGGCAATAATAATAGTACATGGATTTCATCAGAGTTCTATGTTCAGTAGATTGACAATCCTTTATACGTGTTGGCTGGGATATATATTAGTGTATGTGTGTGTGTAAAAGTCATTATAAAAAAGCCAAAGTGTTAACTGGGTTAACTTGTACTGCTAGCTCTATGTATAGCAGTCCCATGGGTGAAAATATAGGACAGTTCCAGCACACATTTCTAGTTAGTGCTGGCCTACTATTTCAGCATCTTATGACTTTTAAATGTTCATTGTGCTGTAACCCTTTTAGTGATCACCTTCACTAATAAGGAAGAGACTAATTAAAATGATGGACAGTTTTACACCAACATCGAGTGAATTCCAGCCTGCTGAGCAATAAAGGTTGTTTAAGCCAGGAGTGGCAGCTAGCAAATTACTTTCATCTGTATGCATCTGGGAGTCACCCCAATTGAAATAGCATGCATTTAATGAACCATGTCCATCTCAAGAAATTCAGTATGCCATCCATCCTGAAGAGGCTTTTTGAGTTGATTGATGATTAGTTAGCTTAAGGAAAAATTGAACATGCATGCAAGTAAGGAAAAAATGTGTTTTCCTTTTCTGACCGTAGTACATAGCCTTAACTTTTATAACGGTATCTTAAAAAGGACATTGTTCTCACGTGACTAGCCTGTTCTTGTCCCAGTGGAAAAGAAGCCTTTAGAACAGTGACAAACCATTTTGCACATTTCCTTTTATAGAGGAAGGGCAGGGAATTTGGGCATCCCCATTACATTGTCAGATGTCTCTTGGACTTGCTTTGCCAGGCATGACTGCTCAAATCCTATTTTCAGTAATTACATGTTCCAGTAAAATTGCTTTTCACAGCTTTTAGCAGGACCATTGCTGAATTAACAGTGAAGGAACAGCTGCAGAACAGTTTGTTAAAATAGTTTTATTATTATTATTGTTATTTGTCATTAATAATGTTTTTTTTGTTGTTTTGTTTTGTTTTTGCTTCACCAGGCTCTGTAATGAGGGGTTATAGTGGTATTCATATGACCTCTACCTCTTTCTCTAATGTTTGTTTAAATTTTACTTTCCTTTTAGGTGAAAACAGATTAGAGGCAACATGTCTAGCAAACGGGCAAAGGGAAAGACCACGAAGAAGCGCCCTCAGCGCGCAACTTCCAATGTCTTTGCTATGTTTGACCAGTCACAAATCCAGGAGTTCAAAGAGGCCTTTAACATGATTGATCAGAACCGTGACGGCTTTGTGGACAAGGAAGATCTGCATGACATGCTGGCATCTCTGGGTAAGCCTTTACTGTTGTTTGATGAGCTAACGTTGACTGATTTCATAGACGCTCTGTACACCAGGATGTCTGTGGACACTGTTTTCTTGCATTGTACAAGTGCAAATGCATTTTTCTTTGTAGCATTTCTTTGTAGAACATTTTAGGCAGGGCACTTATGACATTGTCCATTAAACAGTCAAGATACAAGAGCTAAGAAAGTAGATCCTGGCAGATGGTGGCAAGATCCAAATCGAGTCTACCCATTTACAAGTGTCCCTTTCAGTTACCTTGTGTAGCATCCATTGTATATTGTGCTATTAGTTAGCTTGATATAAACCTCAATTCTAGTTTTGATGAATTTGCCAGTGATGCTTGAGCTTTGTGCATTTTCATTTTGGACTCAAGTAGTATAGAATCTGATTGCTCCTGGGGTCGCTTGGAAAATACCTTGCTGTGCCAATATATTGTGTTGAACACTTCCTGAGTTAATCAAGAAATAACTTAAAAAAGATCTTATGTCTGAAATTACTCTGTAGGACTTTGTCTATGGCTTACTAAATACCTGAATCAATATCTGTTGCATAAAGGATGTTTCCGTAATGCCCTGATTTGCCTTGTCATCTCTTTAGGCAAGAACCCGACAGATGACTATTTGGAGGCAATGATGAATGAAGCTCCTGGGCCCATTAACTTTACAATGTTCCTCACCATGTTTGGAGAGAAGCTGAATGGCACTGACCCAGAGGATGTCATCCGCAACGCCTTTGCCTGCTTTGATGAGGAAGGGACTGGTAAGCCTGGTTAAACTTAAGAATCTTGAGAACCAGTATTTCAGTTCAATCATCACTCAAATCATGACTACAGTCCCTTACTCATAATACACATTTAGACCCAAATTTCATCAAAACACTCACAGAAACTCACCTGAAACACCTACACCTCCTAAAAGAGTGTTTTATTGTGGGCTCTGATTGGTTAGGATTCTACCAGCATGTAATAAACATTTAGTGATTTGTTTAGATGTTTGGTTAATTTGCATATTGCAGCCTTCAGCAATGTCAGCATTGCCCAGGCTAATGTTGCGATAATGATGAACAAATTTTATATTGTGCAGCCTTAGTGAGGATGGGCAATATGGTAGAATATCAGCTCTATTGGATCCAGATATCGAAGCCTCTGGGTTTTTAATAGCATATTCATTTTCCTTCTGTCTACTCAGGTTTTATCCAAGAGGACTACCTGCGTGAGCTTCTGACGACGATGGGCGACCGTTTCACAGACGAAGAAGTCGATGAGCTCTTCAGGGAGGCACCCATTGACAAGAAGAGCAACTTCAACTATGTGGAGTTCACACGTATCCTCAAACATGGAGCCAAAGACAAGGACGATTAAGCACAAAAAACTTCCATGCATCTTCAGCCCTTCCACTTTTAATCCCCTTCTCAACTAGAGGAGCCTTGTCTATTGCTTATGGAGTCCTTCTGAAAAGCTGCCACTGACTCTGCTGTGTGTTTGTGTATGTTTGAGTTAAAGTTACACCCGGAAGGTGGAAAATTAGTTAGGAGACCAAATCACTAAACTTATCATGATCAGTGTTTTCAAAGAAAGAAATATGCCACTTTTTTGATGGAAGTGTTTTGTGTGGGGACAGTGCACGGTTAAGTTCATTGGTGTATGTGTTATTCAGTGTGGTTGGCAGGTCTGTGGTTCACTTCAGACTCATTCACTTTCAAACCTTTTATAATGGGTTAGGCTTTGTCTGTGAAATGCTAAAGGTTTGGTATATGTATTGTTAATCAAGATGTTAAGGTCTTTCTTCTCTCAACCGAGTGTACCTTTGATTTGACTCAGCTGACACGCATGCATTTACCAGTTGCAGATCTTGAAGAGGTCCTGTTTCTCAGTGCTTTAAAACTGTTAAAATGTGAAGCAGTGGTGAGATGCTACGGCACCTTTGCTGTTATGGCCTGATCTAGCAGGATTTTTACATTTTATAATAAATATGAACTTTTTGAATAAATTACTCAGATCCTTGTACCATCTGCTGTGGTCTTTGTCTTTTAATCAAATTCTTCATTAAGCATGGATGAATTTAGCTGAGGAGGAACATGGTGATATGAAATGTGCAGCCATGTCACATCACTAAACTAGATAGTTTATACTCAAACGAGATTTAGTGTGCTCATTTTAGTAGGATTTTTCGATTAAAAGTTCTGTGCAGTAAGGTTACATCTATGTGCTGTTCTAATATCAGGGCTGTTTTCCTCATTCCTGTCAACATGTACTAACATGCCCTGAAGCACTGAAATTACACTGCTACTGCAGTGCTAAGTATCTATCTCTACCCCTGTATCCGAGTTACATCTAACCTTAACAGTCCTACAGCGTGTATGGTGAATCTGAATCACCATATGGAGTTTGAGTGAATAAACCCATATCTAAAATAAACAGCATTTTAAAGTAGAACCGTCAATGACAATTTGGTTCCACACGTTTAATCAGTGCCAGGAAAATCATTATGTAATATATATATATATTATATATATATATATGTAAATATGTGAATAAGTAACTTTATTCTAGTAGTCATAAGCTGTATATATATATATATATATTTATATATATATATTATATATATATATATTTCTATTTAACGGCCTGTTAAACGTCAAGAAGCAACAGAAAATAAATTTTGCTCTAAAGGCAGTAAACAAGATTGAAAGACGCAAATATTTCCTAGCTGTCTTCAATATGCAACGGTTTCGTGACGACTGCTTTCCTGCCTTTTCTCTAGTCGGAAGCTCATGAATTTAAGTTTAAAAGAACTTTATTGAATCTTTAACAACCACATTCAATAAAATGCATCACAAACCTCACATCCATATATTTATTTTTTAAGTTATCCCAATACATCATGTACCATAAATATTCCACGATTCGCCAAACAGTCATTATTTGAATGACGATTTACTGCTCTAAATAAATCGCTTAGCTAGTGTACACCAAACCGTTAGCGCTCCAGCATCAGGTTATGGCAGAATTCAACTCGTGTACTTGAAGGACGTTACAATTTAAACCGGTACTTTTAGGAGCACCTTGGACGGCAAAAATCCCAAACGAATGGATCCAAGACCAAATTAAGCCTCACCCCTTACTCGAAGCCCAGAGTATCCAAACAGAAGCTCTTATTTTGGACACATTCCGAGAAGAACCGATTCACTGGAAAAGACAATTTTGCTTGGAAGAGTTGAAGGTAAAAGAGGAAGAGGACGACCAGAGGAATCATGAATCAGCCAATGAGAAGCGGTCCATATGGTCAAAAGAAGTCGAGCATGATTTAATCGCACTTAATAATAATAAGGCTAATAATTTGAAAGACAGTAAAATGGTAGTTCCCAGAATTTAACTGTTTCTGAGACTACAAAGGAGGAAGCCTTGTTTAGAAGTGCAGGTCTATGAGTGTGTGTTGCCTGAAAACATGCATTTATTTAAGTTTCCTGAATAATGTATACTTTAATTTATAAATGAAGGCCAACATGCTAACTTACTAGTTAAGTGAAAGGAAAACAAAGAGTGGTGACAATGGTGGGAGACTCACTGTTCACTACCCAGTGCTCTTACTAGAATGGACTAGTTAGTGTGCACACTACAGGAAGCTAACACGCCAATGGGAACACTGCATTTCACTGTGTGCGCTCCACCCAGAACAGCACAGCTGAACCAATCCAAACTCAGAGCTCAGCGCACATGCGCAGTACTCACAGAAGATGTCGGGGGAACACGCCGAGTCACTACAACACAGCTAAAAGTAAGCCACTGTCTGTCATTTGGTAAAATATGTTCACAAAACATTAAATTCAAACTGTGAGTCGAGCATTTCTAGGCTGCCTGGTTGTTTTTGTGGTTATATCTCTCGCCGTTACTGCACGGGTAGCATGTAGCTCTATCAGTAACGTGCTGCATCAAGTTCAGAGGCGCAAGGACAGAGGAAACAGTGTGTCTGGTTCACATTAGCATTAGGCCAGTTTATACCTTATAGATATTGCAGCAGTCAGAGTTTAGATGTTCTGGTGCCTGTTGATTTTAACATCTCGTACTGAGAGCACGCTATTGGTCTGAATTTTTAAAGGAGCAGTAAGCAGTTGACCATTAAAGAACCTGTTTCCTACATTCTTCATTTCTTTTTTCGTCTGAGGTCCACTAAAACATATGTGTGGGTTTATGTACAAAAAAGTCATTATTAATTTTCACATAGCTATATTCCAGCCTCCCTTTATCCATTTGAATTAAACAGGCTGTTTTTGTTACTGTGCTTTTAAGACGCATATGTAAATTATCTCTGCTCTAATTGGCTGCCCTGTATTGTGCCTCATTCAAAAAGCTGAAACACTCCTCATAACTTCACTGTAAATGGGTGGGGCTAAACTGCTGTAGGCTGTATAGGACAAATCAGTGTTATGTCACGACAACAGTAGTGTGCTAAAAGTCTAAAACACCATATATAATTAGTGTAAATGCAAATAAACATACATACAGTAAGAAATAACAAGAAATTCCTCTATTCAAAAAAGTTGTTGATACCCTGTGAGCCAGTTTGAAGTTTGGTTCCTTGACTGGTTAAATTTATTAAGTAGCCAAACTGAGTATTGAATAATAACTACAAATAGTGGGCTGCCAAGAGCAGAGGTTTGGAAATGGTTTAGTGAACACACTTATATACGTAAAATCACTACCTGCAGTGTTTCCTCTAGATTTTCTTTCAGGCTGGGTGGTAGACCCTTCACAGCTACCAGTGTTGTGTGTATGTGGTGTTACCAAACACACTGGTGTAGTATCATTGCACATAATTATTTTAAAAATACACCATACATGTGAATACACTGTGTTACACATTCTCTACTCTACTTATTTTCAAGAAGTGTGTCATACAGTTCATGATAGGTCAAGAATTATTTGCATATATTTCTGTAGTTTTTTTATATTTTAGAACGTTTTTTTTTTTATCAACACTAAATTCTATTTGGACTGTTAAGTCTATAAAAAAGCTCAAACGAATCTGCATTTGATTATGAAGTCAGGAATGCAATAGGAAGTTGATTGCAAACATCCAGCAGTCGGGGTCATGCAAAAATGAATTACTACTGTTTCTGATAAATTAAATCATGTAAGTGGACCTCAAGGGAAAAACTGAAATACAATAAAGATGTAGGACATTGTTGCATGCAATGTGTTCTGGCATGCACTGTGCAATAGAAGATTAAGAAATGCCAGGTTATAACAGAGCAATTTCAATTTAATTCATTGTTTTTCTTGCCTTGACACCAGGTGAAGGATGGTGTAGCATCTAGCCTTTTTCATGGCTCTGACGGTGCTGCGGAGGGTGCACGTGCTGAAGAAAGTGGCGGTACCCCTCCTCTTCTCTCCTGCCACTTTGAATGCAGGGGAGCATCATGTGTGTATTCCATCCATCTGGACCTCTGGAGTTTGCCATCAGCTCCTCCGTGGCTGTTCTCCCTCTGAGCTGGGACGGAGATGGCTGTGCATCACAAGCCGGGAGCCTCTCTTTCTTGTGTCTGGTTCCATCCGTCTGTCTCGTGACCCCTCTGTGGCGGGACGTCCCACATCTTTGCTGCACCGCCTGAGCTCTGATGAGGATTGTGTCTTTAAAGATCGTCTCGCGTCCTGCACTTCGTCTCGGCAGGTTCTACGCCTCTTGCGCTCTTCTCCACATCTTTCGGGAGCTGCTGCTGCTTCTGTTCTCCACCGGCTGGCTGATTTGGAGCAGGATGGGGCCGGGGGTCTTCGGGATCCTGATACACTGCTATCTGACGTGGCTTTGAGCGAACTATGTTCGAGGCTGGAGAAGGAATCAGCTGAGCTGGAAGATGAGGCAGTGATACAGGCTCTGCAAGGCTGCACCCGTCTCTACTTGGATCCATGGAGTCACCTAGTGGTCAGACTGGTGTCTGAGAGCCAGGTGAGGTTAGACCGAGGGCACTTGAGCATTGGAGCGCTGTGCGGCTTAGCAAGAGCGCTTTTTGCGCTAGAAGGGCCGAACTGTGCCATGCTAGCGCAGGCTATGAGTCAACTTCAGAATAAAGCTCCAGCTCTTTGGGATACAAGTGAACTGACCGCTGTCTATAGCATGCTAGCTGCCGGTTTGGCTGAAGGAGGCCGCTACCAGGACTTGCTAAACAAAATGAACGCCCGAGCACTTAGTCTAGCCCCAAAAATGGACCCCCTAACGGTCAGTGAAACGTTAGGAGCACTAGTTACATTAAGTCAAGCGCAGGCTTTACCACTAGTGATTGCGCTGTGCAAACAGGCTGTACGGCACGTCCCGAACTTTGCAGATACGGAACTAGCCGTGGTGCTGTCTGCACTCATGCACTATGGACACAGTGATCATTTTCTTGTAGAAGCGCTCGAACGGCACGTGCCGAAGACTGCCTTTACTGCTCACCCGGAGACTGTAACCAAGGTGATGCAGTATTTCGGGCGGAGGCGCATTTTCTCGCCACCCGTTTTTGATGCAGTTGCTGAAAGCTTCGTGTACAGAGCAGATGAGTATGCCACAGGGCAGGTGTCTCAGCAGATAGCAGCGCTCGGAGTGGTGGGATACGTACCTCAGGAGGCAGGACGACTCTTCCGAAAAGTGGAGTCAGTCCTAAGCGCCCGCTTTTCACAATTCCAACCCAGAGCCCTGCTGGAGCTGCTGCATGCCTGCACCCTGTTGCAGAGGTACCCGCTCAACTTCGTCTCCAAAGTCTTCAGCCCATACTTTCTACAGCAACTTCAGGGTAAGAGATCAAATATGTAAGTGCAGGTGAGGTGGGCGATTTGGCAGAAATGTAACGTAGTGGTACAGTACTACAGTACAGCGATATTTAGTGTTGTTTGAGGTTTGCTAAATATTTTGGAACCAACACAGATGGAAAAAAAACAAATGATTATACTATAACATACATTATATTTTAATAAGAAACAGGGCAGAGAGTAAAACAGTAAAATAGAATAAAATGGCATAAAAATAATAATTATTAAGATTATTGATTATTATGATATAACGGATTAACGTCCAGTTAGCTCTTTTTTTTCTCTGCTTATTTCGACATTATGACACCACTGCTTGTTGTTTAGAGACACTCTTCATTTGAAAGTTTGAAAAATTCTGAACAAGTTCCACCTCCCTTAGTTAGTGTTGCCACATCTGTCAAACTTTCAGGTTAGGCTACCTCGTTCCATCCGTAACACATGTAAAGAAGACCGAAAACAATTCTAGTAAAATTTAGAAGCACACAGGTAAAAACATTTTAAAACATTTATCTTGTGTAGATGGTCAGTGCAGACACGTTTAAGAACTAACAGATATGAATAGAAGCCAATTTAAAGCGAACAAAAAATGGAATCTGGAAACCATGTTTACATTAATCAAGCCAGGGAAATTGTTTAGTCACTCAAAGTTAAAGCGGCAAGTGTTCATGTCCAATAAAGAGAAGGTTTTAGACTCTTTCAGATGAGTAATGTTAAAGCTAAAGCTGGAACTAGTTAGAGTAACTTTAGATACTGAAGAGGACACCTTTACACACTGTCTTTCAGCAAACTTTAATAAAACAATACAAAACATGTGTAAGAGTACATTAATATTTGTATGAGTACATTAAATATACCCATTTTTACACCTAATGTTTTAAATCATATGTGAGGGCTGCACAGTCCTGTTTAATCTGACTGATAGTTAGCTAACTAATCTTAATCTTAATCTTTGGTAACATTATCATTAGACATCATATTAAAATGATTTTTAGGAAATACAGTAACCTAGGTAACATTAGCTTATTTACCTTAGAGCCATCATAAGTCTGCCTGTTAATAGTCAAGCTGAGCTGTGAGTTTGATCTACCACAAAGTTTAATCCAAAACATTTTCAGCTTCAGGAATGAAACAAAAACATCACCATCCAGATGCGTGTGTCAGGTAGCATATAACACTCAGTAACACTTTTCCACTGTTTCTTAGCCTAATAAAATTCTGACTAATTTACTGCCATGGCTGTTCTCACCTCAGGCTTAAGGAGTTCTGTCCTTCGCTTGGCAATGGAGGGAATGCTTAGAGATGATTGTTATTGGCTGAGAAGTGTATTAGTCATAATTTTGCACTGGGTCAGCTGGTCTAATTCTCTATTTATTATTTTTTTTATGAAGTGTGCATTTGATCAGTGTTCTAGACATTCCAGTGATACCACTGGATGTGCTCAGGAAACGCAGCTCAATGTAATTAATCATGAAAATAATAACGTACTGTCTTACTGCCCACCCCTAGTGTACGTCACAAGGTGAGAGAGCATGGTCTTTTCAGACTTAGTACAGATGTGGATAATGTGCAGTTTTCTTGTGTACTCTGTTGTTTTCTCCCAGAAGAGGGCAGCGGAATGGATCGTGTCATGTTGGCCCAGCTGACGCAGCTCTACATGACGGTGAAGCTGGAGTGTCCATTCTATGATGTGTGTATTACACTTTCTTGCACATTTTAGCTGTCCAATCATGCAGTGAATTCAATGTTTAATGTTTTCTTTGTATGTGTGTAAACATATGTGACTGCAGGGTCCACGGCTTTTACCCAAGCTGCGCGTGAAGTCGTTCCTGTTTCCAGGACGTTCACTTGAGACCCCAGTAGACCCTCACCTGTATAACACTGTGAAGACTGGCCTGGTGGATCTACTGGGGGCTCGATCCTACTTTGCATCCAGAGTCCTTACACCATACTGCTACACACTTGGTAACTTACCCACACATGCACAAAAACACCTGAAACACACCTGGTAGCTACACTGTAGTTAATACTGTCTGTTTGTATGAAGTCATTATGTGGAGAGTTTTTGTTTTGGCTCTTTTTTCAAGGGGTCAGTTGCACCAGTTGTACGTAAGTTCAAACATAGGTTAGTTACGATGTAAGTGTTCAGGTTTATGCATTTCTAAAGCAAAACATGTTGTGCCACATAAACTAGTTTTAACATTGAGCTTATTGTTTACTAAATATTTACACCTCTTCCTAAGTAGGTGTAAGTGTTGGGGAAACCAATGGGAAACACATAAATACCACAAAGAAGACAAAAGCATGAATTCTTTGGTGAACAGAGCTCAAAACTAAGTGCTATTGTTGGGTAATCTACCACAGCATGACTAGATATAAATTTAGAAATGAGTGAAAAACATCTGTTCATAATTTCTGTGATGCAATAGACCCCAAAAACTGAAAAGACAATAATAATAATTAAAATAATAATAATAATAATAATAATAATAATAATTTTTTATCTATATGGCACTTTTCATGCCGGTGGCAGCTCAAAGTGCTTTACAGACAGGTGATAAAAAAAACAGTTACACAAGAAATTGTAAGTATTAATTTAGAATCATAAGAAAATGACACAGATCAAATTAAAAGATAAATACCAAGAGATGTAAAGTTTTAATTAAATGCTAAGTTAAAGAGATATGTTTTTAGATGCTTCTTAAAAGTGAGCACTGAGCTTAACTGTCTAACAAAAGGTGGAATTGAGTTCCACAGTTCAGAAGCATAACAACTGAACGAGGCCTCTCCATGTTTTCTGTATTTTACAGAAGGTATTTACAGAAGGTCAGTATCTGCAGATCTAAGATCATGTACTGGAACATAAACAGACAGACACTCTGTGATGTAAGCGGGTGCCTTAAGGTCATTTAGAGCCTTAAGAACTAGTAGCAGAACTTTAAAATCTATTCTGAACGATACAGGTAGCCAGTGCGGTTCTTTTAAGACGGGAGTGATTATCTGTTCACGGAAGAGAAGATCTCACATTGAATTTCAAAAGTAAAATAGATAATAAAATTTAATAATAAAGATATTTTCAGAATTGACTGGTGGAACATGAAAAAGAAAACATTTTACGTTTTAACTCAGAAGATGAAGCCAGCACACACAGTTCAGAGAGACTCAGCAGCTGCTGAAACTGTTGAGTTCAGTTCAATATGTACACATCATTTACGTCTATATCACGTATATAGTTTCCATTGAAAAAGTCAGCGCAAGATGCTGGTAAGGTTTATTAATTGCCTCTGAACTTGTTATTGTCATGTTAAAGCAAGGTACGCATTAGTTAGTTGTTAGTACTTAAGATGTGACTTAAGGATTTTGTGGTGCAACCAAAATAAGTAAAAGGATAGTCTGATGCTAAGGAGTGTTATCTAAGGATTTAGTAAAGAATTAATGTTCAAACTTAAGTGCAAACCTGGTGCAACCCTGTCCAGGGCACTGGATTTGAATAAAGTAATGATTATGATGTTCAACTGCAGAGTGTCAACTTTAATTTGTGTTTATTGACATCTATATTGGGTGAACCAATGCTTTTTATACATAGTCTTGCAGGGGACCACAACTATTAATATGCAAAGAATAAATTGACCACTCATTTGTTTCTTGGTCAGTTGTGTGTTGCGTCATTAGTTTATGAACGAGACAGATAATTAAATGTCTTTAATTGTTGTTTTTCAACCTCAGGACCAAAGAAGTGGCAGTAAAGTAGGTTATCATGAGGCTGACAGGACAGAAATAATAAATCAGACTTTGGTTTGCAGGCTTCAGATGATCATTGCTGACAATGGATTTGCTGCCTGACACATTTAGGATTATGCTTATTTGTGTCCTTGAAATAGGGGGGCTATGTCAACAAATGGCTCTGATTTATATATGGTTTTCTAGTGTAGATGTAAATACTCTCTAATTAACGCTGGAAAATGAATGATAAACTGAGGCCCATTTCTTTTTAAACCCAGTGTGCTGAAATACAGAGATAAAAAAACTTACTGGTTACTTACTGGATACTGAACTGCTCTGTAAAGACATTGTTAACTTGTATTCTTTCCCCCCAGATGTGGAGATAAAACTAGATGAAGAAGGCTATGTCTTACCTGCCAGCCATGATGAAGTATACAAAAGGTAATATCTTTAAATGCATTTGTTTGGATGACTATGCTAAAGCTTACTGTGTCAGTACCTACATTTCTGTGTATAAATGTTCTCAGGATTGCTCTGTGTATTGATGGGCCAAAACGCTTTGCTGCTAATGCCAGACAACTTCTGGGGAAGGAAGCTATCAAGCAGCGACACCTGAGGATTCTGGGATATGAAGTTGTTCAGGTGAGTGTTTATCTACACAGTTCAGACATACATATTTGACATCAAAACAGAAGATAATTAAACAAATAAAGTTAAACAGAGGAAAAGTGCCACAACTGATTGGGCAGATTATATGATGTAAATTTTGCAGTCTTTCAAAAGGATGCTGTACTCTGGCCTCAGCTCATGGATTTTATGCATGTTTTATCTTTGTCTTATCATATTCTAGAGGAAGCACGTTACCATGATTTTCCCATGATGTGAAGCAGAGTAAAATCACTGACACGGCCTTGATAGGCTTACCTCTTTTAAAGCAAAAACATTGCACATTAATAAGTAATATAGTTGGTGGGTTTTGAATGTGCCTCAGTCACGTCTTTGATCCATGTTGCATTCATACAAACCGCACCAGAGTTCATTTGGAAGCTTATTTGTTGTGCACCAGTGTTTGCATGGCATCATTCTCGCTTGTGCAAACTACACTAACAGTACAGTTGCTCTAGGGTTTGTTATAATTGAACCAAACTTGCCAAGTTTGAACACAGCCTTAAGGCCAGAGTACACTAAATATGGACAAACATGGACAAACACAAATGTCTGGTTAATGTGGCATACTAGAATAGTCTCTTCGCATTCACTCTGGTTCATTTGGCTTGTCAGTTCTTATTCTGGACATTCTAAGCACAAGTACTAACAGAATGTAAACTTGGGATTTTTTTTTACTGACTAGCTATTTGAATGATTTAATGTCAGTTTCATTCTATCCGAGTTTCATACTCTACCTCTGCGTTGTTCTCTTGAGTTCTCTGAATCAAAATCAGATTAGATAGAACGGAGATGTAACAGAATTGGGACTTGTTTAATGATTATAACTAATACAATGCATTTGTGTATCTGTGGTAACATAGTTTTCCCCCCTTTTTCTAGATTCCCTATTATGAGTTTGAAAAGCTGAAGGGCAAGGCAGAGACAGTGGAGTACCTACACAAGAAGATTTTTCCTCACAGCTTTAGACTCAGCTGGTGATCACTGGTTTACCTCACAGACATGCTAATACCACCAATCTCTCTCTCTCAAACCAAACACATGCAGACCATGACCATAGACTCTTTCTGACAACAAAGCAGCCACAATTTCCACTTCTTGTCAAACACATCCAGAAGATAAACATATCACACCACAGATTTGAACTTTGTTACATAATAATGTTGGAGTCCTAAGTGGTGTCATTTTAGTGTTGCTGTTGTTCATATGAATAAGCCTTGGTTATTTAGTGTCCAATATATTTTTTTATGAAACTTCAGATACAAATCTATGTAAATTATTTAATAATAAAGGAAAGGACGATGATCCTTTAACATACTTTTTGTTTGTACACTATTTATCCAAATAATGGAAGAGTTTATTTATTCAAGTAATGGACAGAGTTCACCTTCAAGGTTCTAGCCATCTAATACTGGTTTAAATCCATGACCTCACAGCGACTGAATTTCAATTATGATTCTTCAGGAAAGCATGCAATGCACCATCAAACCTCATCCTATTTAAAGTAACACTTTGATGATTAAATACCTTACATTTTAAAGAACTGAATTCTACATTTCAAAATACAGTCAAATGCAAAAGGGTAAACTCCCCCAGTCAAACTGTTTTGTTGGTTTTCTAAGTAAAAATGTGTAAACATCCTCTACATGGAACCTTAAATGTGGCAGTTTATTTGCAAATTTTAATGCACAATTTTTAACATATTAGGGGCACCCATAATTCTGCATAGGACTATAGGTTGAGTTTAAAAGAGTAGAATCTCAATTGATGCAGCGGAACTGATTAATGCATTGATGCATGCCCCTGCCATCTACATTTTTTGGGAAGTAACTTTGACTTCTATCAGTTTTGTTTTTAAAGGGCTAGGAAAATTGTCAGATTGTTTAAGAAAATCAGATATACATTTATTTATTCTCACTCTGCATGTAGCAAATTATGCCCCATAATGATGAAGAAAACAGCAGTTAAAATATTTCAGCATTTAAATCCTATAAACACATTGTCAAATATAGAATAATTTATTTGTTGGTAGTTGGCAACACAGTGTTGCGGTACAAAGTCAACCAAGTACATCCTTTAGAAAACGAAATGAAGAAACTGTTTATCTGGTCAAAATTAAACAGAACAATCAGAACTATAGAGCTTAACAGTGAATCCTGATGATTATGGTAAATACATTCCTGCTAGAGCAATAAGAAATACTCTGGGATGAGATCGTGACCAAGAAATTGGCTGTGTTTACAAATAATGTATCTCGACCCCAGAGCTTTTAAGGTAAGCGATCCCGTTTCATAATAAGGTATGAGTGTAAATGCAAATGTCCCAGTCTGTTGCATGGCAGATATTATGATACATGTGTATGTGCTGCCACATTAGTCTCCTCTTATGTAGCTGGAATCTGAGGAAGGCCAAATTCATCCACCAGAACGCCATCCTGTGTATGGGGAAAAAATATATATATAAAATGCTACTAATCAGTTGGTTAATTACAGAATGACTGCTTTTCACACTATTACAGCAGTGTAGTGTCACAACAGAAATCCATAAACAACAGAAATAGATAAAAATAAAAGTAAAGAAGAAAACAAAAAAAAGGCCATAAAGCTACCTATAGATTTCAGGACAATAATGTTGTAGTATTGTTAGTACTAGATGTTTGGTGTTTGTCTTTACCCGGTTGGTGCTTTTCTCTCCTGGCACTCCTTCTGGAATAGATGGAGCTGTGGAGGCCTCATCTAGGTAAGAGGAGTCATCATCCATAAGGAGCTCATCGCCGAGTGCATCCAGCTCTAACAAACACACAGTCATGCTTAATTAAATCTATCATTGACCTTATGGAGCATAAGGTCATAAACCCATGGATTGATACAATGGTAAGCATACAGAAGCTGAGAAAGCTGCTAATAATAATAATGTTAATAGTAAGTCATGCAAGTATACTGGGGTGATTCCACAATTGAGGTACAATGTAATTTCTTCATTTAGACTTTTTAAAGATCATTTTCAAGACTGAGCCTAAGAAAACGTACATTTAACCAATAAAAATGTGCTAACCCATCTCAGGAACAAGCTCACTGTTTATAAGGTTTCTTTGTTGACACTGGCTTAAATAAGTAACAGATGAAAGCAACAGGGTTATGTTTTTTGGCATAGAATTAGCAACTACAAAATGGGGTTAGGTAGCATCCATGCTAATAGTTAGGGGTGGGAATCTCTAGGCACCTCACGATTCAGTTACGATTCAGAGGGCCGCGACGCGATTATGAAATGATTATCGATGCATCTTGATGCATCTTTTTTTGTCTATACAGGATTTCTTTTTTTTCTCACTGTGTGAGGACTTGGTACTTTTAAAGCAAAGTATTTGTAATGATCCATAATGAATTTACTTTCAGTATCTTTTATTAATAAAACAAATGGAAGTGATGTGGCAAGTGAACTGGAAGGCTCTCATTCACTGCTTTTGCTTCGAGCGTGAGATGCTGCTGCCACTCATCTGTGATAAAATGCGTTGTTACGGTGACATAAAATCCAGTGGCAATGGATGTCCACACAGCACATGTTCGGTTTTGGCCCTGGTTCTCAACGACTAAGAACGGACGCAAATCCTTAGCCATAAAAGTTGCGACAGAGTTTGTAATTCGCTTTCGAGTTGGGTGGAAGCTTTGACATCGCTTGCTTGACGGTCCTCTGGTTGGAAGCAAGTATAACCGGTAGGAAAACGGGTGGAAACATGTAATATGGTTTCTCATGTTTGTTGTTTCCAAAATAGTTTAGTGTGACACAACTTGCATATAGTATGGCTCTTATCCAGGTCCCTTTTCCCCTGGCGTGCAGACTGCAGGTCACCTAGCAATGCAGTCAGTCCTGCCTAGCTAGTAGCTAACAAAAAGGCAAAGAGGAAGTTTTAAGACGAACATTTGAAGACAAATGGTCTTATTCGCATTTATAAGCACCGCAGTTGGTTTCCTGGTACATTAAATCTGCAACGAGAGACTTACATTCTGGAACGGAAAAATTCGAACAAGAAGCTGGCGAATAAGAAGCGACTTCAGCCTCATAAAACAGTCAAACATCGAAAGACATTTTACAAGAAACTGACCTACTTTTGAAGAAAAGTGTCTTGGTGGAGATGGGAGGAAAGCGGCTATAGCTAAAGCTTAACACAGAGCAAAGTAAATCTGCGTTTTTGTTTATATTGTTTAGCCTATACTAGGACATTATCACATACTGGATATAAAATGTTGTGGCTTTCAAGCTGGTTTGATTTTTGTTGAAAGGACAAAATGGCTCTTCTTAACATTTGGGTTGTGACTCCTGACCTAACCTGGCTTTTAATGCAGAGGGAGCCAGTCGGATTTCTCGCTCATCCAGTTGTGTTTTTGTTATGTGCCGACATTTTTATTATGTCCGGGCGCTGCACTTTCCCACTTCCAAGTTCCGCCTTTTGCGTTCCGTCAACATTACGTTATAAATTAAATATTTAGAAAATCGATTTTTGACATTTGTGAATCGATTCTGAATCTTCCATATCCACATCGCGATGCATATAAGAATCGATTCCCCCCCCAACCCCTGCTAATAGCATGAAACAATTTTTTTTTAAGTGCTTCCAGTCTATAATTTGGGTGAAGAGTTAAGCTTTAAAGTGATCTTGTCAGCCACTCTATCAATGAAAATAAAGAAACTTCCAAAACCAAATCTTTAGGAACTTTGGACAAGGCAAAGACCTGTTGAACATGTGACTTTTGGAATATTTTAGATATTTCATAAGGATGAGTGTGTTCAGTTAATGCAAACATGACACTATGGTGAGCTTGGACAGGCAAAACTAGGGGCTGTATCTAGGTTTTATTCATGTCGTTAAAAGTTATTTTTATCTGAAACGTACACAACTTGTTGTGGAGGACATGCGTGTAAAATGTATTTTACCTTTATTTTTACATACATATTAGTAAATGTAATATCAGTGGGTCACAGCACCACATCCGTGGCATCACCCATACACACAATATTCTACACCTTATGTACTAACCTGCTTCCAGGTCATCCTCGTCAATTTCTGGTGTGCCATAGCTGCGGCTTAGAGCCTCCTGTATCTCATTAGCATCCTCCATCATATCCTCCAACTGGTCTTGTAGATCCTACAGCATCAAACAAATCACTTTTTTCAGCCAAAATTTCTATTATCATAAACATATTTAGTCAATTTTTATTTAAAAATGTTTTCCTAATATATAATACATTTAGTCACATGTTGGTCACAGTTATATTCTAAACGTCTTTAATGGTACATAGACAACAGTGACAGTCTAAAGTGGAAAAAATCAGATATGAATTTTGTATTGAAGTTTGACTTTTAGTATTTAGTATTGCAAAGATTTAGTATTTACCTCAATCTGATCAATCTTCACATTCTTGTATGCCTTCTTCATTTCTTTGGCTCCAATTTTCATTGCATCCACCTGTCAAACAAACACACACGGCCCTTTATGTGGCGTGGCACAAGTAAACTGATGTAAATGCATGTGACAGTTATTACTGAGCCTATTACTTAATTGAAACTTAACTAACATACTACTTGTTTCATTCAACTACTTAATAACTACTTATGTAACTGCATTGTTTTGCATGTACTCTCATGTGTGGTGCCAATTTTTCCCATTCCAAAATCACAGAATAAGTCGCACTCTAAAAAAATTTGACATTTAGGATTGCATCTTATTGTGAAAGACTTTCATATTTGAGTAACTTGGTTCTAAACAGTTGTAGGTGAGTAAAGCTGAGTAGACCAAGCCGCTCATACATAACACTGAGGTTTTCCTTTTGTAATTGTTGGATTTTTAACAAGCCTTTGCTTATAATTTAGCTTGGGGCCAATTCCCAGCCGCTAGTTAGGTCCCCCCTTATCAAATGATGCTACCAAGCTAAGAGGGTGAAGGCAGGCAAAAGTTTCCTCGCAATCTCTTGACGATTGGGCCAACATTTAGATTACTGCCACACTCTGGTTGAATTACTTAGAAGATAATTAAATACAAAGAAAACAAACAAAAAAGGAAATATTTAAGCCTGTCATTCCTCTAAATACTGTTATGAGATTATAACACATCAGTTGGCAAAACTGAGAAAATTGCTTTCAGTGAGGAAAATGTGTTCTTACAGTTGTCTTAGTGTCTTTGAGGGTCTGAATGGTGTAGTTGGCCTGCTCCATGTTAAAGGACTGTTGCATCAGCTGATCTCTCTGCCCTTCATACCTGCAGATACACACAGACACATTTTAGTACTATTCTAAAACCAATAATTAATAGATCATTTTTTTCCAGCAGGTCTTCTCTTTGAATTTAACTGCAGCCATACCAGTTTATAAGTTTGTTTTTGCTGAATAATGTAAGTGTACTCACATTCTCTTTTGTTTAAGAACTCGCATGGCTTTTTGCTTCACCATGTTCTGTAAAAGATGAATACATCAAGACATAAACATCTCAGACAAGAGTCAGTACTACCAGGAATCCTGGGGTCTGTCTCACGAAGCAGAATTTCTTGACTGCCCAGTTAAATTTAAACTTAGCTCAATCTAATGCTGGATTTTCTTTCTCACAATGGTAGCTCAATTTTTATGGGGCTACATCTAGCTGGCTTCAGGGCGGGTTATGTTTGTCATTTCAGATCATTAAACAGCTTTTGGACCAATCAGGGCAAGCTTTTGACCAGTCATGGTCACCCTCCAGTCCTTTTCAAGTCACTTTTTCTTCTTTGAGACATTTGAGGCATCAATCATGTGAAAACATCGCTTCTCGTTGCAGAAAACAAAGCATACTGCATAAATATCAAAAATATAAAGCCACTATAAGTCCAATAAGCACTAACATGGTGACAGTGGTGACAATTCTGCTTTTAGGTAGAAATGCTTTACTTTCTACATATTTACATATAGAGATGGCACAATTCCACTTTTTGTTTTCTGGTACTGATATTAAACCTTGAGCTTAGACTGAAACTGAGCCAATATTTTTTCTTTAAAATCTACAAAGATTTAAAATGAGTTATTGTTAATTGTAAGCACCTAAAATGAGAATCTAAAAGTAGGCTTTACTGCTCACAATAAAACACTATTTGTTACATAGCCAGCAACATGACAGAATGCAGTGTGAATCTGCTATTTCAGAACAGATGTGTTACGTTACAGGATTGTATTCAGTTTTTCCTTCAGTATCTAATCCTGCATGTTCGGCTGATGTTGGTCCGATAAGGATACCTGCTATCAGATCATTGTCATCTCCGTTTACCTAGTCTGATTTCTTTTTCTTATTTCTGAAAATAAGAATCACACAACTGGCTGTTGCCATAAACATCATGCTTTCATGTGCACAAGGATTAATCATAGTTTGAACACGTAAACCTGGATTAACATAGAAAGTTGTTAACAGCTGTTGTACAACAAGTTAATCGTGGTTGCATTTGTTAGGTTTTAAGCAGCTAAAACTCTAAGTTGAACATACTCCGTGAGACAGGATCCTGGTCAGTACAGAAATGGGAAAACATGCTGATCACTTGGGATTCTTCTATACTGTATTTAACCAGTTTTATGAATCCCTTTCATTAATTCAAGAGCCATAGCATTTCTTGTTCATTTTAGGGCCTTTAAGATTTACATGCAGGCTGAGATGAGAAGAAGGGTCTCAATGTATTTCTCAGGGACTCTCTGAACAATAATACTACATGTTTTCTGTCTGTGCTTTACCTTCGAGGGTCCATCTCTCATTTTTTTCATCTGCTCTTTGTATTTCATCAGCTCGGCATCAAGTCTGGCTATTTTCTTATCGATGGACTCTGCTCGTGAATCAACCTAGGTTTCAAAAAAGGCGGGGGAGAGAGAAAGGTAGAATGAGAGACTACACGTGAAACAGGAAAACAGGATCCACACACAACAATGAAACGTCACTGTGTTTCAGTAGATTACGCAGAGAACGTGTGTGACCGGTTTAGTCACATGCCCTTTCTCCCTGAAGAGACACTTTGACACAGTCCACCGTCATGTAAGAGACACAGCGTTTAACACACCAGTGGTTGAGACAGTGCCAGTCCTTGTCCCACAATTTTGATTTTGGCAAGCTACTTAACAGACCTGAAAAAAAAACAAACTGAACTGCTGATACATCCCTCTGTCTCTTCCGAGAGTCTCTCATTTCCATATTTTGATGGGAAAAATGAATAAGATCCTATATCTAGAAGAAAACTTTTGTGGCATGATACTTAACAATTGGGAGGGTGGAAAAATTAAGACATGCTATATACAATTTTATATAAGTCAGTACACATTTTTGTCCTGTTTATAACTCAAATTTTAATGACAAAAATATCGAAAATCGAATCAAACCTTGGCTTCAGAACCGATCTTGAAAATATGTGCATTGTTTCAACCCATAAGCCACCTAAATGTACTGTACGTACTCTATATAACGTATTAAGTGACATTTCTATTTTCATTTCCACTCAAAGAGAAATTCCCTTTCTTTTTCCACACCCACAAGACACAGCAAACATTCGTCGTTGGCAGGTTTCCTGATTATCTAGTTAGTATGAGACAGAAAGGCTGAAATACTGCCCTGTCAGTAACGTCATACATAAGCTAACAGGCTAAACAACAAAGCCAGTCTGTTTACTAGCTAAGCAGGCTAACGTAACACTTTAACAGAGGTGTAGCGAGACCATCAGCAGCATGAAAATCTAACAATAACCTCAAATCAGACATCTTTCACTTCTGTCAACGTCAATGTTAGATTAGATATTTCTGGAGAAGCACTAACCCGAGCCTGACACTAGAGTCTATTGTGTGGGAGAGCGAACAAGACCAGCCTCGCTAACAAGTCCGATTTTACTGTTTGTTTTGTTAGACAGCTGTGAAAAAGTTTGAAAAACAATCTCTTACAGTTCCTATACAGTCCGTAAGGTTGGGAGGTGGTCCTTTGGGTTTGCCTCTGCCGAAAATGCGGTTCATTTTGACCCCGTTTTACTCTGAACCGACAGCAACACTTGCTAGCTAAATAAAAACACCCGGAAGCAACCTCAGCCTGACGTCACACCATGATCACACGTGAAAGTGAGTCACACCGACAGCCAATAGGAGCGCAGGTGTTTACAGACCGACACACTCACAAAAATGAGTGAAAAAAATGAAAAAATAAAGTTGTCCTGCAGAGCACAGAGTGGTTTTGTGCACAAACCAAAGGGCGCTAGAGCACATATAGGTTTAATCAGTGCCACAGTCATACATGCTGAGCAATATGAATGATGAATGGCATATGCTGAGATCTGATGACCATGCCTCGTTCTGTTTTTTAATTTATATAAGTAGTTAGGATCATTAAGGTCAAACGTTTTTCCTGCATAGTGGTACATTTCATTTAATTTTCTTATATGAGATCCATTTGACCAAAATATATGTATGCTGTCAGAACAAAACCTTGTACCTCCATTTTTGTCGCTCTTCAGTTTTTGACATGAATTGAAAATTTCCTTTTGTCCTTTGCATAGTGTGTAAAATTAATGGAACAGAAGAAATGGCCCAAAATGACTTGTAAAAAAGTCTGATTACATTGACTTACAATAATAATGTAATAATGTACATGAAGTAAATTATATTTTTTTCTTCTGTAAAATTATCGTTTTAGAGATACAAGGTTTTGTTCTAACAGCAGGCAATATATACACCAATCAGGCATAACATTATGACCACCTCCTTGTTTCTACGCTCATTGACCATTTTATCAGCTCTACTTACTATATAGGTGCACTTTGTAGTTCTACAATTACAGACTGTAGTCCATCTATTTCTCTGCATACTTTGTTAGCCCCCTTTTACCCTGTTCTTCAGTGGTCAGGACCCCCATGGACCCTCACAGAGCAGGTACTATTTGGGTGGTGGATCATTGTCAGCACTGCAGTGACACTGACATGGTGATGATGTATTAGTGTGTGTTGTGCTGGTCTGAGTGGATCAGACACAGCAGTGCTGCTGGAGTTTTTAAATACCTCAGTGTCACTGCTGGACTAAGAATAGTCCGCCAACCAAAAATATCCAGCCAACAGGGTCCTGTGGGCAGCGTCCTGTGACCACTGATGAAGGACCAGAGGATGATCAACACAAACTGCAGCAGCAGATGAGATATATATATATAAGAATAAGGTTAGAATAAAGTTACTTATTCACATATTTACACAGTGTGTGTTTTATTGTTTCTTCGTCACGTCGTCAATATTTATCTGTTGTTATTGAACTGCTCTGCCTGGTGTTTATTTCATACTTCAAGCAGTTCCCTGTTAAAGTCATCCTGATTCCCGCCTGCATTTGTGATAGGAGAAAATTTAATGTGTAAATAAGTTGTTATTGTTGGCTTAAAAATGTGTATGTGTTGCTTGTGCTGTTCTGTGGGTTAGTTGGTGCACCGTTGGTGCCTGACATGAAGGACAGTTGTATGGTTGGAAGTGATTTGCCTGCTTTCTTAGTCGTTTTAGTAGAGCTGAGTGGCAGTTCTTCCCTGCTGCTGTGCTCAATAAAAAGCATTTGCTCAAAGCAATATGTTTCCTGCATTTTATTCTCTGCTGACACCACTCAGGTGTCAGAAGTTGGATAGTGTCCCCCAACGGTACAGAATGGAGGTTCCAAAAACTCAAAAATAAATGGTGGAGAAGAATGAGCCCGCTGAAGACTGTGGAAGAAAAAGCAGCAAGGCGAGGAACAGAAGCAGAGACCAGCAGGAAGGTGGTGAAAGAGTTGTGTAACCCAGTAAGGATATTGATTAAAATGAAACTTTAAGAATACCCAGTTAGATTTTTTTCTGATTTGAAATGAACACACAACTTAAAGCCTGTTTAATGTACGGGTCAAGTTTATTGGATCGTGGAATCATCTAACAACATTATACAGTGGAACACCTTTCAAACTTCTGGGAACTTGGATGATCTTGATTCCTCTGGTGAGGAGTGGTGAGTCAACCTAGAAAAAGACTCAGTCAAACACCTTATTAAACACCTTATTAAATATACCCAACTCTATACTGGATCTGGTCCACTAGTAAAATAACAGTAACAAGGGTCTTACAGTTGGCATAAGGATGCTAGGATGATGGCGCAGCGTGGTGGCTTGGTGGTGTTGGCCATGGCTCTCCAGTAACACTTGAGTGTGATGTTTTAGCAGCATATCCGGTGTTTGAGAAGACAAGAGGAAGAGCTAAAATGGAGGAGCTGAGACGGCATGTGCAGCTCGTCGCACAGACTTGTCTTCAAGCTGTCGCAAGGAGTACCACCATGCATGGGAAGAAGGACGCAGCACTCTGTGTCTCTCTGCCGCAGCTCCCTGAGAGAAGACTGGGTCACGCATGGCTGAGGTGCCATGTGTTTACTGGTGTGGGTGCAGCATATCTCTGAGTGCGCCATGGACTTTGCTCATACTCTGTGAAGTCACTAGGACGGCTCACCTAGAAGGGGAAGCTATGGGGCTATGTAGTGACCCACTACTGGCTCGTGCTGCCGTAAAACAGGGGAGGCAAGGTCATGCAGAGTGTGTCTGCCATCAGGGAGAGTTGTATGGTTAGACGTGACCTGCCTGCTTCTCGGCTGTTTCAGTAGCACTGAGCGGTGGTTCTCCCCGGCTGCTGTGTTCAAGAAAAGAGCATTTGCTTAAAGCACTATGTTTACCACGTGCCACAATATTGTTTCGAATTTCATCAGGTTTTGTTGATAACTCTGTGTGTCTGTGTGTGTGTGTGTGTGTGGTTTTGTGTGTGTGTTTTGAGCTGTTGACTGTTCTTCTTTTGACATTTGGAACTCTCATATTTCCTCCTCTGGTGTTCACAGCAGTTGTTTTTGGGCTCTGAGCTCTAATCCATCTTCAGCAGCTCCTCAAGTTCTCTATCAAACTCCTCATAAGAATCTTGTTGAATCATTTTTTTGGTTTTGGAAATAAACTTTGGAGGAGGAAACTTTGCATCTTTGGGTTGTTTCAGGTTCTTCTGCTCAGACGTTTCATCAGTCCTGCACTGCTCAATTTCTGAGTCCTGTTTAAGCAGTGACTTCAGTTTCTCACTGTATGGAAACGTCACTGGAGGATCACTAAAGGTCACTTTTTTAGCCTTTAGTTTCTCTTTCTTCTTGTCTTGCCCTCTCTCCATTAGCTGATGTTCTCCAAAGCTGCCAGTGTTTGTCTTTTCCTGATCTTTTGTCAGATCCAGCTCTTTCTGAGTTGTTTCAAAAGTCTCTTCTTTTGTTTCCTTCCCCTCACTCTCTGTGTCCACTTCACTTTCCTCCCTCTCTCTCTCCACCTCTTGCTCTCTCAGTCGCTTTCTTTTCTTTTTCTCCTCTATGATCCTGCCCTCCACATCTGTTTGAGAAGACAAGAGGAGGAGCTAAAATGGAGGAGCTGAGACGGCATGTGCAGCTCGTCGCACAGACTTGTCTTCAAGCTGTCGCAAGGAGTACCACCATGCATGGGAAGAAGGACGCAGCACTCTGTGTCTCTCTGCCGCAGCTCCCTGAGAGAGGACTGGGTCACGCAAGGCTGAGGTGCCATGTGTTTACCAGTGTGGGTGCAGCATATCTCTGAGTGCGCCATGGACTTTGCTCATACTCTGTGAAGTCACTAGGACGGCTCACCTAGAAGGGGAAGCTATGGGGCTATGTAGTGACCCACTACTGGCTCGTGCTGCCGTAAAACAGGGGAGGCAAGGTCATGCAGAGTGTGTCTGCCATCAGGGAGAGTTGTATGGTTAGACGTGACCTGCCTGCTTCTCGGCTGTTTCAGTAGCACTGAGCGGTGGTTCTCCCCGGCTGCTGTGTTCAAGAAAAGAGCATTTGCTTAAAGCACTATGTTTACCACGTGCCACAATATTGTTTCGAATTTCATCAGGTTTTGTTGATAACTCTGTGTGTGTGTGTGTGTGGTTTTGTGTGTGTGTTTTGAGCTGTTGACTGTTCTTCTTTTGACATTTGGAACTCTCATATTTCCTCCTCTGGTGTTCACAGCAGTTGTTTTTGGGCTCTGAGCTCTAATCCATCTTCAGCAGCTCCTCAAGTTCTCTATCAAACTCCTCATAAGAATCTTGTTGAATCATTTTTTTGGTTTTGGAAATAAACTTTGGAGCAGGAACCTTTGCATCTTTGGGTTGTTTCAGGTTCTTCTGCTCAGACGTTTCATCAGTCCTGCACTGCTCAATTTCTGAGTCCTGTTTAAGCAGTGACTTCAGTTTCTCACTGTATGGAAACGTCACTGGAGGATCACTAAAGGTCACTTTTTTAGCCTTTAGTTTCTCTTTCTTCTTGTCTTGCCCTCTCTCCATTAGCTGATGTTCTCCAAAGCTGCCAGTGTTTGTCTTTTCCTGATCTTTTGTCAGATCCAGCTCTTTCTGAGTTGTTTCAAAAGTCTCTTCTTTTGTTTCCTTCCCCTCACTCTCTGTGTCCACTTCACTTTCCTCCCTCTCTCTCTCCACCTCTTGCTCTCTCAGTCGCTTTCTTTTCTTTTTCTCCTCTATGATCCTGCCTTCCACATCTGTTTGAGAAGACAAGAGGAGGAGCTAAAATGGAGGAGCTGAGACGGCATGTGCAGCTCGTCGCACAGACTTGTCTTCAAGCTGTCGCAAGGAGTACCACCATGCATGGGAAGAAGGACGCAGCACTCTGTGTCTCTCTGCCGCAGCTCCCTGAGAGAAGACTGGGTCACGCATGGCTGAGGTGCCATGTGTTTACCAGTGTGGGTGCAGCATATCTCTGAGTGCGCCATGGACTTTGCTCATACTCTGTGAAGTCACTAGGACGGCTCACCTAGAAGGGGAAGCTATGGGGCTATGTAGTGACCCACTACTGGCTCGTGCTGCCGTAAAACAGGGGAGGCAAGGTCATGCAGAGTGTGTCTGCCATCAGGGAGAGTTGTATGGTTAGACGTGACCTGCCTGCTTCTCGGCTGTTTCAGTAGCACTGAGCGGTGGTTCTCCCCGGCTGCTGTGTTCAAGAAAAGAGCATTTGCTTAAAGCACTATGTTTACCACGTGCCACAATATTGTTTCGAATTTCATCAGGTTTTGTTGATAACTCTGTGTGTGTGTGTGTGTGGTTTTGTGTGTGTGTTTTGAGCTGTTGACTGTTCTTCTTTTGACATTTGGAACTCTCATATTTCCTCCTCTGGTGTTCACAGCAGTTGTTTTTGGGCTCTGAGCTCTAATCCATCTTCAGCAGCTCCTCAAGTTCTCTATCAAACTCCTCATAAGAATCTTGTTGAATCATTTTTTTGGTTTTGGAAATAAACTTTGGAGCAGGAACCTTTGCATCTTTGGGTTGTTTCAGGTTCTTCTGCTCAGACGTTTCATCAGTCCTGCACTGCTCAATTTCTGAGTCCTGTTTAAGCAGTGACTTCAGTTTCTCACTGTATGGAAACGTCACTGGAGGATCACTAAAGGTCACTTTTTTAGCCTTTAGTTTCTCTTTCTTCTTGTCTTGCCCTCTCTCCATTAGCTGATGTTCTCCAAAGCTGCCAGTGTTTGTCTTTTCCTGATCTTTTGTCAGATCCAGCTCTTTCTGAGTTGTTTCAAAAGTCTCTTCTTTTGTTTCCTTCCCCTCACTCTCTGTGTCCACTTCACTTTCCTCCCTCTCTCTCTCCACCTCTTGCTCTCTCAGTCGCTTTCTTTTCTTTTTCTCCTCTATGATCCTGCCTTCCACATCTGTTTGAGAAGACAAGAGGAGGAGCTAAAATGGAGGAGCTGAGACGGCATGTGCAGCTCGTCGCACAGACTTGTCTTCAAGCTGTCGCAAGGAGTACCACCATGCATGGGAAGAAGGACGCAGCACTCTGTGTCTCTCTGCCGCAGCTCCCTGAGAGAAGACTGGGTCACGCATGGCTGAGGTGCCATGTGTTTACCAGTGTGGGTGCAGCATATCTCTGAGTGCGCCATGGACTTTGCTCATACTCTGTGAAGTCACTAGGACGGCTCACCTAGAAGGGGAAGCTATGGGGCTATGTAGTGACCCACTACTGGCTCGTGCTGCCGTAAAACAGGGGAGGCAAGGTCATGCAGAGTGTGTCTGCCATCAGGGAGAGTTGTATGGTTAGACGTGACCTGCCTGCTTCTCGGCTGTTTCAGTAGCACTGAGCGGTGGTTCTCCCCGGCTGCTGTGTTCAAGAAAAGAGCATTTGCTTAAAGCACTATGTTTACCACGTGCCACAATATTGTTTCGAATTTCATCAGGTTTTGTTGATAACTCTGTGTGTGTGTGTGTGTGGTTTTGTGTGTGTGTTTTGAGCTGTTGACTGTTCTTCTTTTGACATTTGGAACTCTCATATTTCCTCCTCTGGTGTTCACAGCAGTTGTTTTTGGGCTCTGAGCTCTAATCCATCTTCAGCAGCTCCTCAAGTTCTCTATCAAACTCCTCATAAGAATCTCGTTGAATCATTTTTTTGGTTTTGGAAATAAACTTTGGAGGAGGAAACTTTGCATCTTTGGGTTGTTTCAGGTTCTTCTGCTCAGACGTTTCATCAGTCCTGCACTGCTCAATTTCTGAGTCCTGTTTAAGCAGTGACTTCAGTTTCTCACTGTATGGAAACGTCACTGGAGGATCACTAAAGGTCACTTTTTTAGCCTTTAGTTTCTCTTTCTTCTTGTCTCCAAAGCTGCCAGTGTTTGTCTTTTCCTGATCTTTTGTCAGATCCAGCTCTTTCTGAGTTGTTTCAAAAGTCTCTTCTTTTGTTTCCTTCCCCTCACTCTCTGTGTCCACTTCACTTTCCTCCCTCTCTCTCTCCACCTCTTGCTCTCTCAGTCGCTTTCTTTTCTTTTTCTCCTCTATGATCCTGCCCTCCACATCTGTCTCCATCAGTTCATCGATTGTCTCAGTCTCTGGTCTCATCTTTCTTTTCTTTTTCTCCTCTATGATACTGCCCTCCATCTCTGTCTCCATCAGTACATTGTCTGCCTCTATCTCTTCTATCTTTTGCTCATCTCTCTTTTTTCTCTTCTCTGCAGAGATCATCTCTTTTTCATCTGTCTCTGCTTCCATCAGTCTGTTGGTGTTCTCCATCTCCAGCTCCTTTTTCTTCTTCTTTTTCTCTATGATGCTTTCCTCCCCCTCTCTCTCCATCAAACTCATGGCCATTTCTCTCTCTGCTCTCCTCTGCTCCTTTCTCTTCCTCTTCTCCTCTATAATTTCCACCTCCCCCTGTCTCTCCATCTCTGCACTCTTCTTCTCCTTTCCCCTCTTCATCTTCACCAGAGGCTTCCTCTCCTCCCTCTCTCTCTCCTCAGTCTCCATCATTTTATTGTCCATCTCCATCTTCTGTTCTTCCTCCCTCCTCTTCAGTTTCATCATCCTCTGCTCTCTCTTCCTCAGTTTGGTCAGTCTCTTCTCTTCCTCCTGCTGACCCTGAGCTTCAGTCTCGCTCTCCTCCTCCACTGGTTTGGTGAGATCACTCTCTTCCTCCAGACTCTCACACTCTTTCTGTTCTTTCTCCTTCTGAAACAGGATCTCCTCTCTCACTATGGCAACAACATCCTGTCTCTTCATCTCATCCTGCTCTCTTCTCTTTCTCTCCTCCTCCTCTCTCTCCAGTTTCTTCCTCTGCCTCCTTATCTCTTTCTCTGCCTGCTTCTTCTCTCTTTCTACAGTGTTCTGCTGCTCTTCAATCTTAATCTTCTGTGCATCAACAGCCCGCCACTCTTCTTCTATGACCATCCTTTTCACATTCTCCATTCTCTCCATTTTTGTCTTCTGTCTTTGCATTTCTTTCTCTGTCAGACTCTCTCTGTAGGCCTGCATCACTCTCTCCGTCTCCTTTTCTTTCTCAAGTGCTTCTTTTTCTGTCTCAATGTTCTTCATCTCCATTCCAATATTCTTCCATTCCTTTGTGATCATTCTTGTCTTTTTCTCCATCAGCTTTCTCTCCTCCTCCACCATCTTCTTGTGTCTCTGTCTCTGCAGCTCAGTCTCCGTGAAGGCTCGCCTTTTCTCTTCTTCAAGTTTCACTCGCTCTCTCAATAAGTCTTCATTCTTTTTTGCCTCCATCTCTCTCCATCTCTCCATTTCTATTCTCTCTCTATCATGTCTGATCTCATATTTTTCTAAAGCAATTGTTTTCCATTGCTTGCCGACTTCCGTGAGGAGAATTCTTTCCTGCGCTGTTATCCTCTCCTGTTCCTCTCTCAGTCTTTCTTTCTCTCTCTTGATCTCTCTCTTTTCTGTCTCAATCTGTAGTTTTTCTACATGAACCTTTCTGAGTTCATCCTGCAGTGTTTGGTACTCCTCTTTCTGCTTCTGGAGCTCCTTCAGCATCCCCCTGACTTCCTCCAGTGTCACCTCCAGAGCTCTCTGTTTCTCCCTCATCTCCTCTTCCTTCATCTGCCTCTCTCTCAAAAACTCTTTCAGCTCTACAACAAAGCATTACATTACATTAAACCAACTGAATGCAAGGCACAATGTGAAAATTAGCCTAAAAGCCAGCAGGAATGTTAGATGAGGAAGTAATTTTAAAGCACTGTACACTCAAAAAAATGTTTAAGCCCAAAAGTTAAAACTTATGTATTTTAATTTCTTTGTCAATTTTCCATTCAATTTAAATACATAAATCCAATGTAAAAAATGGTATTATAATTAATGTTTCTCCATCATGTTCAAATTAGAAGTACTTGTACAATAAGGAAATGTTTATGTGCACAACATTCCTACTGAGGTGCAGTTCTCATGCTAACCATCATGCAAGTTAGCTAGATAACACTATCAGTCACTTCATGCCATGCTAACATGTCGAGGTCACCTACAGTTACAAAAACCATGAACTGTTGATTTGAATATTAAAGCAATACATCTTTATATACTGTGCTTCACAATAAATCACTCCCATTGATTATTTAATCACCTTATGTACTCAATAACATGACAGTAGACCTAGCAAGGATGCTATCTAGCTAGTCTGCTGGTGTTGTCTAGAGTATCTCTCAAAATAAGCAAAATGAAACATTAATATACGGTCAAAAGCATTAAAAGCACTAATGAAGTTAATGCGCATCACTATTTCATTGCAGTTGCACTGTATAACAAAGGATGGCGGGAGATTGTAAAATTAAAAAGAGCCATTCATGTCCACCATGCCATCTGAAGCAGTTTCCTGGTTGATGATGCATTTTCTGTTACTTTTGCGCATGCGCACTGCCTCCTAATAAGATTTAGTGGAAAAACCTAATAAGTCTTATACAATTCAGTTAAATCAGTTTTGGATTTATCCAAATTGGGCTGCTTCTAATAATTATAAATAAGTGTATATTTTTATGTTTTTTAAATAGGTTTTATGTAAAATATTTGCCTAATGTTTATGATGGCCATAAATCATTTTTTTTGGGTGTATCTGAACAAAAACGCATCTCATTTAAAAAGTGTTCTTATAACTCATTCACTTATACAATAACATTTACACCCTCTCCGTCCTCTTCAAGTCTGTACTTTTTATCTCTTTCCCTCCCCTTTTCACTTTTGCTCTCACTTCTCTCCAGCTCCTCCCATTTTCTCTTTTGGACATTGTAGTGAGTTACTCTATGCTTAACTCTTGTATCTATTTATGAACAGGGTCTAAAATGTTGTGTAAATGGCTTTTAACACATTTCAAATGAACTAATTTTGTTCATAGAGCACTTTTCATACAGGCAGTAGCTCAAAGTGCTTTACATTGAAATAACATGTTAAAAAATTAAAAGCAGAAAGATAAAGATAGTGATAAAATCTAGTTCTCACCATCTACACATCCATTCTTTTCTTCCTCCTCTCTCCTTCTCTTCTCTTCTTTCCTCCATTCTGCCTTGAAGAGCTTCATCCTGTGGTCCAGATCACGGCTCATGATCTTCTGGATGGCCTCCATGCGCTCCTCCAGCCGGATTCTCTCCCTGAAGAACTTCACCTCCAGGTGCTCTCTCCATTCCTCCTCCCACATCCTTGCGTTCAGTCCGTACTGACAGAAGAAGAGAAATTTTACATTGAATTAAAACAGAACATTCTTTATGTTAATATGTAAAACATCTTACAACATATAATAAATAACAATTTAATCATGGAATAAGAACCAACCATTTGGAGGACGCAGTAGTAATGATAGTAAGGATACTCAGTTGAGGTCTGTCCTGTAGTCTGCGGGTCATGAAGATGAGTGCAGGACGAACATGTTGACCTCTTTTATAGGCGCCGTGGTGTGACATGGTTTATGACGTCATAGACGCTTCGCGGTCTCATTGTGACGATTGACAGCTAGTCTTTTTAGTATCTGTCCACTCTCATTATTATTATATTTACTGTATTCATTTGAACTCAGTAAGTAGAATTAAATCACAGTAACAGACTGAAGGACAGTGTTTTATATGAGACGACGATTCCCACGTTTTTCAAGCTCTGCATTACACAAGAAGAAATAGAATGATGACGAGTTCTAGATCTCTTTACATTCTAATGTTCCTCAGACACCCGCCATCACTAGACTTACAGAGCAGCTACAATATTTTATTTCATTTTTATTCTATTTAATTATATAATTTAGTTTACGTTTTATGTATTTTTTTTTATTTTTTCTGTATATTTATGTTAATTGTATGTATTGTTTACATTTAAGAATGTTTTTAGTATTTAAAAAATAACTTTTAGCTGCATTTTCATATTTTCATGTATAAACGCCCCAGATAAATACATAGTATACAATAACAACAACAACAACAACCACAACAACCACAACAACAACAACAACAATGATAATAATAATAATAATAATAATAATAATAATAATTATTATTATTATTATTATTATTAGTAGTAGTAGTAGTAGTAGTAGTAGTAGTATTAGTATTAGTATTACTATTACTTTCCTACAGATTTTGAAGTAACGTCGTTTTGACGTTCATAAATGTCAAGGAATTTATCATAAAGGGCGTGTCCCTTATTAGCTTTGTAATACACATTTTCTTTTCTTTTCTTTTCTTTTCTTTTCTTTTCTCAGTTCTGGTTCGTCTTCATCTTTCTCTGTAAGTTTTAGGTTCTCTGCAGTTCTTCTGTTTTGCTGATTTTCTAAGTAAAAATAAGTAACACCTCCTCTACAGAGACACACTTCTGCACATTTTATTCACTCGAAAGAGGCCCTGAATATTCTGTAATAACTCTCGCTAGCACGACGCAATCTGTACGAAACAACATGCAATGTGCGCCTCAATATTTGGAGCTTCAAACAAGCTGGGATGCCCCCTGCGTCGGAGCGATGAGGTAGGCGCCGGACAGCCGTCGCGACGTTAAATTTGATTAAATATACACTTTTTCAGACAATGATTTAGGCAACCATGAACCGCTGAATGAGGAGAACCTTCGGTCGTCCATAGTTGTATATTGCTGTCATTTCATGATTTTTTTTAGAACTTTTTGTTGTATAACAATGAACATATGATAACACAGCACTGTTTACTGCAAACACCTTCGCTTTATAAGTGTTTCTTGGTCACCAAATTACCACCGCGAATCTTATTTAGCGCCAATCTAGCGGCCCCCTCTTTTCGTGCTGGGGCTGAATCTCAAATAGCTCCCTGCTCCCTACATAGTGCACTACATAGGAATTTAAATACTGGATCCTGCATCTCAACGGTGCAAAATATAGCTAAGATATAATCATTTGGGACTGTGATATTGTGATATTAATGATGGAGTTGTTTACACTGTTAGCCAGCTGACCAGCCTAGTTCTAGTTAAGAACATAAGTCTTCAGCCCCTCAGTTTAAACAAAAAATGGGTTCTTACTTCATCAATATACTTGGTTGATGGGATCAGCTTGGAAGTTGCTAAGCAGTTCAAATAATCATATGTGGGCTGTAAAAAGTTGTGAATTTTGAGCAAATAATGATAATAAGAAGAAGAACTGGATGTTAGCGAGGTCATGTGAGTAAAACACAATGGCGAGAACCGCAATGCTTCAGTGTTTATTTTCTGATAATTAGTCTCCTCTGTTCTGAAGGATGCAGTGGACTGATCTGTAAAGTGCTCTTAACTGACCTCTTCTGAAAATATCATAGCTTGTAACATAAGCAATAAGACATGCATTAGGTAGAGAGGCACTTCTGAAGCACTTCTTAATTTTC